TAGTAGAGACGGGGTTTCACCATGTTGACCAGGATGGTCTCAATCTCTTGACCTCGTGATCCACCCGCCTCGGCCTCCCAAAGTGCTGGGATTACAGGCTTGAGCCACCGCGCCCAGCCAGATCACCGCTTTTTAATATACTTTATGAAATTCAATCTAGTCACAAAAGTAAAAAAGGAATTTTCACTGTAGAAAATTTGCAAACTATACAAAAGTTTCAGAGGAAAATAAATATCACCTACGATCTCATCTTCTGGAGGAAAATACCATTTAGTGCCTTTCCCCTGAATCTGTTTTATGCACATACATCCTTTTTAAAAAGTTCATAAAGCGGCTGGGCGCAGTGACTCACCTGTAATCTCAGCACTTTGGGAGGCCAAGGCGGGTGGATCACCTAAGGTCAGGAGTTTGAGACCAGGCTGACCAATATGGTGAAACTCCGTCTCCACTAAAATACAAACATTAGCCAGGAGTGGTGGTGGGCACCTGTAATCCCAGCTACCCAGGAGGCTGAGGCACAAGAATTGCTTGAACCTGGGAGATGGAGGTTGCAGTGGGCAGAGATCCCACCACTGCACTCTAGCCTGGGCGACAGGGCAAGACTCCGTTTCAAAAAAGAAAAAAAAAAGTGGCCGGGCTCAGTGTCTCATGCCTGTAATCCGAGCACTTTGGGAGGCCAAGGCGGGCGGATCATGAGGTCAGGAGATCAAGACCATCCTGGCTAACACGGTGAAACACGCTCTCTACTAAAAATACAAAAAAATTAGCTGGGCATGGTGGCACAGGCCTGTAGTCCCAGCTATCACTTGAACTCGGGAGGCAGAGGTGTCAGTGAGCTGAAATCATATCACTGCACTTCAGCCTGGACAACAGGGCAAGACTCTGTCTCAAAAAAAAAGAAAAAAAGAAAAGAAAAGAAAAGAAAAGAAAAGAAAAGAAAAGAAAAGAAAAGAAAAGAAAAGAAAAGAAAAGAAAAGAAAAGAAAGAAAAGAAAAGAGAAAGAAGAAAGAAAGAAAAGAAAGAAAGAAAGAAGAAGGAGAAAGAAAGAAGAAAGAAAGAAAGGAAGGAAGGAAAGAAAGAAAGAAAACAGTGGAAGCGTACTGCAGCCAATAACTCGGAACTTACTTTTCATACACTTAACCGCATAGTGTGGACGTTCTCCCATACCTCCCAGCTTAAGTATTCTTGCACGACGTGATTTTTAGTGGTTGTATAGTCATTTATCATAAGAAATATTTGTTTAGCCAATCTTTTATCAGCAAACATTTAGGTTGTTTCCCAGTTCAGAAAAATGTTTTGCACATGAAAGAAAGAATAGCCCTTCTGCGGCTGGCCGGGTGCAGGACGGCAGAGGAGAAGTCCCTGCAGCCATCCCTCCCTGACCCTCCCTCAGGGTCTCGGCCCCCGGTCTCCCCAGCCCCCTCCGGGAGCACCGCCAGGGCCCTGAGCCAGCTGGCCTCGAACCCTGCCTTTTCCCTGTGGAAGGACAGAGGCTCTGGGATGTCTGTCCTGGCCCTGGGACCGTTTCCAGCACACAGCACAGTCTAGTCCATGGGCAGTTCTGGTGCCCCCTCTTGTCACCTCCAGTCTTCCCACTCCCCAGATTGAAGGTTATCAGGGCTCTGGTAGCCTGGGGATGGGCATGACATTCTCGTACTCAGGTTCCTCCTGCCTCTCCTCTTCAGCCTGCTTCTGGGGATCCTGTTCTGGGGAGCCTCCCCCAGAGACTGGCTCCTGGGTGCCCCCTGAACTCTCCGTGCCAGCCCCCAGCCCCTGGGCCACTTCCTCTGGCTTGGCTGCTGGAGCCTGGGAGCCTGTGGCCCCCGGGAGCCTGGCATTTGGGGGTGAGCTGGGGCTCTGGCTGACAGAGGCCACACCGGGGCTGCCCTTTTTCCGATTCAGGGCCTGGCGTGGAGGCTTAGGGATGGCCCTCTTGACCTTGGGTTCTGTCTGGCCTTTCTGAAAGCCACCAAAATGGCGCAAGACAGACCGGACGGGGCCTTCGGATCCCTGGGGCGTCCCTGCCAGCACGTAGATTGTGGTCACAGGACCTGAGGCCTCCTGGACGCTGCCCTCGATGGCTTCCACATGCTCAGCCACTGTCAGGCCACCCAGTGGAGGCCGCCGGTGGCTGGTGGCTGAATCCCCAGGGCTGGCAGCCGTGGGAAGGGACTCGCCCGCTTCTGCTTCCTCTGGGCCTGTGGACTCCTCGGCTTCCTGGCCCTCGGGACCTGCCTGTGCCCCCCGGGAGAGCCTCTTGGGCTTTCGGAGCGGGCTGGAGAGCTCCCCTGAGCTTCGGCGAGTCTGAGGCGCAAACTTGGTACCTTCGGCGAAGGAGACGGACGGCCGCTTGGCCCGAGCTAGGCTGGAGGTGCGCGGGATGGCGAATGGCGTGGAGGCGTCCTCTGGGGGAGGGAAGACACCTCCAGCCAGGCTCGCCTCCAACGACTGTGCCTGGGCCTCAGGGACCATCCCTGGCAGAGGAGACAGAACAGCTTGGCTGGAGCCGAGCTGGCCACCCCAGATCCTCCTACCTGCAGCTCAGCATCTCCCAGAGGCCCCAAAATAGGGCAAGGAGAGGGTGAGGGCAGAGAGAGAGAGAGAAGGAGCAATTCAGATAGACACTTTCTTCTACACTCTTTTTTTTTTTTTGTTTTGTAGAGATGGGGTCTCACTATGTTGGCCAGGCTGGTATTAAACCCCTGGTCTCCAGCGATCCTCCCACCTCAGCCTCCCAAAGTGCTGGGATCACAGGTGTGAGTCACCATGCCACCACACCTGGTTTCTGTACTTTTTTCTCACCGCCTCTTCCTACTTTGACATACCGTCACGCTCTCACCCAGCTAAAATTATTTCAGTGTCACAGAGCCACCTCCCTCTCACCTCTTAGCCTTTGTGTATGCTGTTCCATCCTCCCGAAATGCCGTTCCCTCCTCTCCCTGACTTTCCCTTGGCTACTGAGTCTGCTAGACACAACTGGGAGACCAGAAACATCTTCCCTGACCCCCAGTCACCCCAACGTGGCTAGCGAAGGAGCCCCCACTTGTATGTCCCCCATTGAAATACATGTCACTCTGTCCTATCTGTGTCCGACACCTGCCCGTCTGACTCGAAGCAGGGCGGGGTCAGGAATCTATCTTGTTCTCTCTTGCGTCCCCGGAGCCAAGAACAGGGACTGGCACAGAACGGGCCCTTCTAACCATTTGCAGGCCGGGCACCGTGGCTCACGCCTGTCATCCCAGCACTTTGCGAGGCCGAGGCGGGCAGATCACCTGAGGTCAGGAGTTCAAGACCAGCCTGACCAACATGGTGAAACCCCGTCTCTACTAAAAATAAAACATGAGCCTGACATCACGCCATAGCACTCCAGCCTGGGCAGCAAGAGCGAAACTCCATCTCAAAACAAACACATAAATAACCGTCTGCTGGAGGACTAAAGAGGAGGCGGCGGTGGAGGGGCACGCAGGGTAAGTGGGCTGTTGGGGGCTACCTTCCTGGGGTGGCACACAGTAGGCAGGAGCCTCATCGGCCTCTGCAGGCTCAGAGTCGGATGAGAAGGAGTCGTCAGAGGCCCAGCCGGCGGAGGGCGGCTCGATGAAGCTGTGGTTGAAGGGGAGGTCCGGGTCGTGGTGCGAGACTGTGGAGAGGCCGGGTCAGGTGCCCGCAGGGCCTGGCAGGGAGCCCTGTCCCACCCCAGCCCGCAGCCAACTGACCTGTCACCCAGGGGAGCTTGTGGGCACCGAGGGAGCCGCACGGCAGTGAGGAGCGCAGGCTGGTCAGCGTCCCCCAGACCTGCAGCTTCATCCTGGACACCGTGGTTCCATCTCTCGCCGGCCTGAGGGAGGGGAGGGCAGGGACAGTGGTCAGTACATAAGACCCAAGGTGACCCGGGTCACCTCGGCAGGGTGTGACAGGCAGAATAAAATCCAAACAACCGAGCCCAAGACTCAGGCCTGCCACAGAACAACAAAGTGTCGCACTAGGGGCCACACAGCCTGGAGTAACAACTCTGGCTGAGGCTTCACCTCCCTGGGCCTCAGTTTCCGCATCTGTAAAATGGGGACAACAGTCCTGTCTATCAGAGCTTCGCATGGGACCAGGAGGCCGCCCCGCATTCAGTGGCTGTTTGTTTCATCATCCTAGCTGAGCCCAGCTCACCTGTCTCTCTCTCTCTCTTTTTTTTGAGATGGAGTTTCACTCCTGTCGCCCAGGCTGGAGTGCAGTGGCGCGATCTTGGCTCACTGCAACCTCCGCCTCTCGGATTAAAGCAATTCTCCTGCCTCAGCCTCCCAAGTAGCTGGGACTACAGGCGCCCACCACAGCACCTGCCACCATACCTGGCTAATTGTAGGTTTGTTTATTTGTTTGTTTTGAGACAGAGTCTCTCTCTGTCGCCAGGGTAGAGTGCAGTGGTGCAATCTCGGCTCACTGCAACCTCCACCTCCCAGGTTCAAGTGATTCCTGTCTCAGCCTCCCGAGTAGCTGGGACTACAGGTGTGCACCACCAGACCCAGCTTATTTTTTTGTATTTTAGTACAGATGGGGTTTCACCAGGTTGGCCAGGATGGTCTTGATCTCCTGACCTTGTGATCCGCCCACCTTAGCCTCCCAAAGAGCTGGAATTACAGGCGTGAGCCACCATGCCTGGCCAATTTTGTATTTTTAGTAGAAGCGGGGTTTCACCATGTTGGCCAGGCTGGTCTCGAGCTCCTGACCTCAAGTGATCCGCCTGCCTCGGCCTCCCAAAGTGCTGGGATGACAGGCATGGCCCACTTATTTCAAATGACACCCCCTCCAGGAAGCCTTCCCTGTTCCCACTCTGCTCTACCCCTACATGTGGAGACCGCTCCGCCCTTCACTCTTCCCCGAACAGCCTCTGTCCCTGTCCTCGTGTCCCTGCAGGGGGCTTCTTGCCACCCTGGGCTCTCTTCCCTGGGCCAGGGCAACTGCGTCTGCTCATCTGTGAATGCCCCACAAGTCCAGGGAGGACATGCTGGAGGACTAGGGCAGGAGTGAGTAAGAGCGGCCCAGACACAGAGTCCAGGAAGCTGGGGAGGGGCTTCCTGTTCGCCAGTGACTCGCCAGGTCACCTTGGGCCCCATGGCCTCTGGAAATTGAGGAGGATGGTCCGGCCCCACACTCACTGCTCCGCAACTCCATGCTGCTATGAGTCTCAAAGGAGCCCCGAGTGTGAAGAGCTTTTGTAAAGCATCAAAGCTCTGTGTCTACCTTGCGGCGGGCTCCACCAGCCCCGTCCTTCCTCCCTGTCTGTCTCTCAGGACGCTGCATTCTCCACTGAAGCAGTGCCTACCGCACAGACGTCCAGGTCACGCTCCTTTTCTTTTCTCTTTTTTTTTTATTTTTCAAAGACGGGGTTTCACCATGATGGCCAGGCTGGTCTTGAACTCCTGACCTCAGGTGATCCACCCACCTCAGCCTCCCAAAGTGCTGGGATTACAGGCGTGAGCCACCGCGCCCGGCTGGTCACACTCCTTTTCAGGATATCTGAGGCCTGGTGGCTTTCCCCTCCTGGGCTGGAGCTGGGCTGCTGCTTCCGTGGTCCCAGCCCTCCGCCTCTGTCCCCACCAGGGTCAGCTCTCTGCCTCCGCTGCAGGCTCAGGTTCACCAGCCTGGTGCCCAGTGCCCCCTGCCCACGCAACTCAGAAACTTCCCCATCAAGGAGGGCAGGCAGCTGACCTGGTGTCTGCAGTGTCTCCAGGCCACTGCCAACTGCCTCCATCACCTCTGACCTACACGGGTGACAAGACCAGCCCTCCTCACCCCCACAAGGAAACCAGAGGCCCCCTGATCCCTCACCGCACGGCCTGAGCTGAGTGTGGAAGGGACGGGCTGGTGCTCACCTGTCCTTGAGGTCTGAGCGGGCGGTCCAGCAGCAGCAGCAGGCACAGCAGGCGAGGCCGAGGAAGAGCAGCAGCAGGGGCACAAGGATGCCCGCGAGGAGGGCGGCGGCATGGCCGAGAGAGCCTGGGGAAGCCGGGACGGGAGTCTCAGCCCTTCCTGTCTCCCATGCATCCTGCTCTGTCCTTCACTCTGAGTTGCCTCCTATGCAGAAGCTTCCTCCTGGGGGTCTCTCCCTGCCTCCGGGCAGCCTCTCTCCCGCTGTGTCCCCTCCGCACGGTCTGTGGCCCACTCCACAAATTCTTGTCCCTGATTCCACGTCAGTGTCCAGCCACCCACTGCCCATTCCATGGCTCTAGCTGGTTTCTCGGGGGGCAGGGGCTCTGTCACATCTTCAGGGCATCCACAGAGAGATCAGGTATAAAGAATGTCTCAGCCGGGGGCAGTGGCCGACGCCTATAATCCCAGCACTTTGGGAGGCCGAGGCAGGCAGATCACCTGAGGTCGGGAGTTCGAGACCAGCCTGACCAATATGGAGACACCCCGTCTCTACTAAAACCACAAAATTAGCCAGGCGTGGTGGCAGATGCCTATAATCCCAGCTGCTTGGGAGGCTGAGGCAGGAGAATCACTGGAACCCAGGAGCTGGAGGTTTTGGTGAGCTGAGACTACACCATGGCACTCCAGCTTGGGCAACAAGAGCAAAACTCCCTC